GCTTTTTATTTTATTGTGAGCTGGTGAGTTATTGATCAAATTGCATTCAACGCGGTAAACGAACAAATGAAAGCAACTTAAGAGATTCTCATGTGTCGATTTTCGAACCATTCGTGATATCAAATCGTAGATATTTACAAAACGTGAACATTGCTAAACACCTAATACTCAATGGGGCAATTCGAATCGAATGCAACAAATTATTTTAATAAAAACAATCAAATCAGCCGCTATATTTGTTTTACTTCTTGTCGTTTGTTCGATACGAAATCGTAAAATGGCAGTTCATTAGTGCATTGACAATAGGCCAGCTTTAGTCAGTTGATTAGAAAAACACTACGAAAATTGGCCCGTTGAAAGAATCTAATTAAATTTCCAGCGTAACGGAATCATAAAGACCAACAACGACCGACCATTTATTTTGTTCATTCATTCTTCCGTGGTGTATGGTAATCGACTTTTTGACTCGTGACTTGTTAGTTCTGAGAAAATTCTCGATTCGGTACTTCGACAACAAATTGCTTACATTGTGCAAATTCCAGGAATTTGATGGAAATTCTTAGTTTCTCGGCATATCTTCAGTTGCATTGCGTGCGTCGCGCGCGCGCCTTTTTGTCTCATGCATAATGGTTTTTTTTTTCGTTTGACAGAGCAATAAGACTAAAAAATACAAACATAGGTGTGCTTCGGAGCATTCGTAATAATATTTTTATTCGTTTGATCTCTCATCAAGCGCAACGGGAAGTCAGAAAGCGTTTGATGTGTAACGATGACACTGAGTGTCGTGTCAAGTCTAAGTGATTTTGAAATTTGAGCACAACCGATATGTTTGATGTTCGATCGCTCGTGCGCGCGCGCGCCTCTTCGTTTCACTTGCAATCATTTTGTAGATGGTTCAAAAAGTGAATGTGTCAAGGAATTTTTCTGAATAGGCGAATGTGTGTTGTGTATACAATAAAAAAAAAACGTGTCGCATGTCATTCAAACCACATTTTTCATTCCAATATTACCATTTCGTTTCACAAGATTATTTGTATAATTTTCAATTTCGATTTTTTTCGTCGTTGTCTTTGTTTTTTTTTTTTTCATTTTATTTGTTGTTATATTTTTTGTCCTGTTATTTTCATCCTGAAATGTTCAGTATCTGTCATATTTTTTCCGTCAGCATATTTTGCTGTTCAGAGCTCTTGTCAGTTCAATTTATCTACTCCGGTTGTGTGCCTCTGTCTGTCTAAACCGTATATTTTTCCTGTCATTCCTTTTGCATCGTGATTTTTATTTTTGGCCATCCATCCATCCATCTCTCTTACGCTTTTCCACCATTTCTCTACGAGTTTTCCCATTTCATTCACTCGCATTTCGTTGTGACTTCTCGTACAGTATTTCAATTCCGGTTCGTTTCATTTACGAAGCGACAACTTATTGCTCATTTTATGCAATGTTGATTTGGATGCGTTGCCATGTACATTTTGTATTTGTGTTTGTGTCTGTTTGTGTTTTGTATTTACCAACTGTGCATCATCATCGTCGTCATCGTTTGTTTTCTCAGCTTTTGAGTCGATCTAGAGCTGACTCTTTCTGTTCCGCTCTCTCGACACATTGGCATCATCATCAACATCATCGTTACAGTTGTGACAAGTGACAGCCCATTTCCCTTGTTACAGCTGACAGGTTACTGACATCACACTGTTTACAGGTAGACACAGTGAACGAGGATATGATGGAGGCAGCAACCTATCTGCGAAATAATAACATGAAAATAAAAATCGAAGCACCGACTAAACGCAGGAATAAAAAGCAACAACAACAGTAATAACAACTACAAAATATCAAGCAACGCATCAAAATATGAATGCTAACGTACCAAATGAATGCGAGAAATACATAGAGCAAAAGAGAGAGAGAGAGAGAGAGAGAGAGAGAGAGAGAGAGAGAGAGAAAGTGGGGAAGAGCCAGTAATATTTTCTGAAGGAAAAAAAGTGGCATATACAATATTATTAAATATTCCTGGAAATACTCAAGTGTGCTTTTTGTGTGTATGTTTCACGGCTACCGTTGGCATTTTGTCATGTCACTCACATTTTGCATATAATTCGCATTTTAGCTTTATATTTATTATTATAACTTTTTCGTCTCGTTTTGGTTATTTATTTGTATTCATCCATTGAAAAAAAAAGAAGAAAAGAAACGTGAGGTTTTGAGAAATGGCTTATATTTCACTAGAAACGCCCGCAAGAGAACGAATGAAAAAAATGCGCTCGCCATTTTATCACGAATCGTTAACGATTCGATTATTTCACCTTTTGTGCACGGTTAAACACTTTGGCTTTAAAGCAATTTTCGCGAGCTTGAATTGATTGCCGTTTGATGTAAATTGAAATTGACAATTCCATATGTGTACAGTGCCACATACATGTGTGTGATTGACTTTAATATCATTGACTTAATTGATGATTGATCGGTCGTGATTAATATTTTGGCCCATAAAATCGCAAAGACGAAAAAAAACACTCACGAACGAACGAGATTCGTTCAAATTGAGCTTCTAATCGCATTCACGTTGTATTTGTTTGGCATGCCACGACACACAAACTGTATTGCTGTATCTGTCTGATATTGTCTGTTGTTACTTAATACCATGCCATGAAATCATCAAATGAAGACAGCCAAAATCGATTTGACGCAAATCAAATGTCTTTTCTAAACACGACAAATGTAATTTCTCTCCTTCTCTTTGTCATTCTCTTTGGTTGTACAATGTTCAAACCACAAATGGTTGCTGTTTTGATCATCGAAATTTGATTTATTTCGTACCGCATTCAGTCAAAACATTTCATCCAACCATAAAATGAATACACAAAGCGCAAACAAGTCAAATGAGATTATCGCATATATGTACCGTAATTTCCTCGGAATGGGTCGATGTGGTCAATTACAAAAACTATTTTAATGTCCGATGGTGTGCCGGCATTTAATTGAAATGTCAACGAATCGATCAAAATTATATCGCCGAAAATGAAACATCCATTTGCATATTTAATTAACTCACAGTTTGCGAGTCATAACAAAACACATGTCATCTCACACCTCTTTCCGCATCACCGCCGTACAATCTCTCACTGACACTACTCGAATTTGTGTGCGCGGCTTGCGTGCATAAAATGTAATTGAATCCGAAATGCAAAAGTCGTAACATAACTCGACAACGCCATGTAATTTATACGATATAGCGGCACAATTATTGCACAATCCAAAATCAATTGGATTCATTGGGTTTTATTGAACGAACCAAAAAAAATTCCAATAAAAACAAACTATTTTATGTAAAATGCACACGTTGAAAAGCGGTTACCACATAATCTGATCGAACTAAAGGTCGTGTGTATGTGCATATCGATGAACACGACAACTACCAGATGCCTTATAAGTGGGCAAAAAAAACACATCAAACCAAAAGTGTATGATTTGTCGTTTAACAGTTGTTGTTTTTTTGGTTGAATATAAACGAACGCAATCCAACACATAGCGAGAAAATATATGTATATCATTGGCAATTTTCGCGCATTTCTATTGCATTTGCATAAACATGATCGAATAATAATAAACAAAAATTTATGACTTTTTTCGTATTCAAATCAAGTCGAATCAATAAAATTTATTGGCTTTACATTTCAAATCAATTCACCTTCGTATGGGATTTTGCATATTGAGGACTAAACTTTATTTCCCGGTATGTGTGGGACAAAAAAAATTCACCAATCATTTTTATTGCACACATATTATATATATATACTTACGAATGAATTATACTTACGAGTGATTTCTATACTGACTGACGTATGATGCAACCTTCTCAAACGCAAAAAAATATATATAAGACCGATGAATAAACATTTTGATAAAAAATTTCGATAAGAATTCGCTCGATACTTACATTACAATGAAAAAAATGTAGCTAAAAGACCTTCGGAACATTTGTTATTCACTCTTTCGCTGCTGTTCATTTTTATTGACGTTCCAAATCAATAATTTATGACAGCTTTGCGATGAAAAGTGTGAAATATTTGTAAATTAATTGCATTCATTATTCACATTTTTATCATCTTCACATTGCATTGTAGTTGATTGAGTACAAATTAACAAGCCAGATAACAATGAACCTCATTACAATAAATTAAAACAATTGTGAATTGTGTGTATTTCGATTTGTTTTTTGCCATTGTCTTTATTCACAATATTTTTCACGTCGTTTTTTTTTTTGTTCTTTAAATATAATTTTAATTCAGCGGTTAAAATGAATGTGTTTGTATGTGTAATTCTTCAATGAAACGAAATTGAAACAAAAAAAAAATATACTAAAAATGAAATCTCAAAATTAATTACACAATACGAGGGTGACATCGTTGTTCAAACAAGTTCATTGTGTTTGTATGTCATGAACCAAACAAAATCCGCTAATTCTATTACCTAAATACGTGTTATCAAACGAAAAAAGAAAAATATATTTATAAGAATACAACAATAAACATTTTATTTCCCTCTGATCGTTTACTATTTTTACGCACTAGATACATCGCACACATTTCTTACAATCATATGAAATAGTTTGACAGAAAATTGTGTTAATTGTATGTCCATCGATTTAAATATAGATATCTATTTGTTGTGTTTGTTTAAATTTGTTTTACATTCAGTTTTCATATCACGATTTTTTGGCGAAGAATTTATCTAGATGTATATTAGATATTACACATTACTTTTACTTGTCGTTTTGCTCCATCTTCGCTCTAAAAATTGATTAATATTTTTGTTAAAATTTACAACATTTTACATTAAATTTTCGATTGTATCTTTTTTTTATATTAATAGCAATATAATCACGAATTACATTAATATATATAGATTTATAGAACTGTTGTTCTATTTTTCATTCATTATTTCTAAAAAAAATTGTTATTTAAGCGTTTATAGACATAATTTATATGTATGTTTTTGTTTTTGTTTTTGTTTTAAAAAAAGAAGAAATCAAAGGACAAATAGAAAAGGAGATTTTTTTTGTTGTTTTCATTCATTTTGGTTGCTTAATAAATTTATTATTTACTCTGTGTGTTTGTATCTACTATGGATGCATGCCAGGCGATGCGCCCAATCGGCCATACAGTGAGTATGGTGAAAAGTATGGTGCTAACGATGGATGTGGTAATGGCAAACCGGCTAACGATGGATGCAACCCTGGCGGTAACACAGATGGTTTGTTATATGGATGATATCGACTACCAGACAATGGGCTCAACGGTGGTGTTGGATAGGTGCGTTGCAGAAGTGGATGGTTTGGTGGTAAACCGGCTGTTGCCGGATTCAACATTGATTCAGGCATTGAAGCGGTGTGCGTACGAAGATGTTGTAAAAGATCATCGGATGTTGAAAATCGTTTTCCACAATAAGATGCATCGCCGGCAATCCAATTACAAATGTATGGCATTTGAGAGGCTGCTGCCAATGCGGTCAATTGTGCATGAGCAAACGCTGACATTTGTTGAGCATATGATGATTTTGATGCTGAATTGGCTGATGGTTCGCATTGTGTACAACCTGACGGACATTTTCCAATTGGATGTGGATTCAATGAACAACCCGTACAAAATGGATCACGACAACCGCCAAGCGATTCAGTGCCATTTTGGCCTGGCATTTTCATGCGATTCGCATAGTTTAAGTATGGTGACATTGAGGCTGCTTTCCACATTGCATGTTGTGGTGACAATAATGCACTGGCTGCCATTAAATCCATTGGATATGGTAAACCTGGACCGTATGCACCGAAAAATGGTGACATCCCCGATGCCGATGTGACTGACGATAATGATGTGCTTGTTTTTGGATACGATACCGACGACTCTTTGGTTGCTTCAGCTAATTTTGATGCACTATACAATGGACTCTCTTGGGTCGATCGTGATACAGAATTGGACGATTCTTTTGATGTAACCGAGGCACGATGACTTGTAATCGTTGGACTAGCACACTTTTCCAAATTGATTGGCTGTTGTTGCAACGATGATTTACGCGAATGATTACCGGCCGGCGATGAGCGTGGTGAGGCAGCACTTTGGTTTGATTCGCATCGTCCATTTGTGTGTTGAACTTGTGTCAAATGCACCTGTTTTGGTGTTTTGATACGATGATTATTGGTTGCCGATTGTGATCGATAATCATCGGGTGTTGTGACCGAGCGATCCCGAAACGATGGTTCATATGGTTTAAAACTAGACTTGGGATGTGATTCACTTGAACTATTCGATAATGACGATTGACTGCCCGGTGACGATTTATCGCAACTATCCGATTTTTGCAAGTTTTTTCCACTTTTTTCCATATTTGCAATCAACTTTGGATTGGGTGCGTCGGCGCCAATTGCACTGCACGTCTGTGCCAATAATGCCAATGGACTATTTTTTGCATCCAACTGAAAATGTAACATAAAAAACAACAATTTATTAGCACATTTTGATAGTTTTCAATGGAGAAAAAAAAACAATTTCATTTCACGCTGACTAAGAGAATTAACTTGTTTTTAATACGATTAAGTCAAGCCGTAATTTATTCGGTGTAAATATCTTGTGTTGGATTTCATTTTTTTTTGTGCTGCAGTTAAAGAAAAAGTCCATTTATTTTATGGACGTAAGCTATTATCGTCGTTTGTTAAACGACCGGAGAGTGAGAGAAAGAGCTTTTGCCAATTTAAAATCACTTGAACAAATTTTCGCTGCTCTAGTTCGCATAATATTATCATTTATATGGCAGAGTAGTTAAAGAGTGTATCAATATCGCATAGTTCAGTACGAAAAGGAAAATTTTGCGTTGATCATAGTCCACCTATTATGTTATAAAACCGTTTTCAACGCGGCACGTTGGCCTATAAATTTTCCAAATTTATACGAGAAACAAGTTTTTGCGGTTGCAAATATGAGCCAAACATAACATCAAATTATCTTCTGGATTAATTTTTTTGCTCTCTCATTTAAAACCACATACTGGGTATGTTCTTTTGGCTATATGCACATGTAAAACGTAATAATTTCGGTTAGTTTGTCTGCACATGGATATCATTAGTTGTGTATTTATAACAAACAGTAGTATATGTGCATTTGGGCGAAAATACGAACAAGTTTCATTTTCTACATACGCTTACAGCGACCGGTGATGATGATGATGATAAAAGAATTCAGGAGAGAAAGGAAGAATGAGAGAGAGAGCGAAATAAATATATGTTCCATTTTAAATAAAATGCTAATGGTAGCATTAAGTCAGAATATCACGTAGTATTCATAGTATGTGAGCATTGGGCATGTGTGCAAATATCAAACGATTTGAATTACATATTTTTCGTTTAATCCCATCTTAAAATATAAATCCGTCACCAAATAAACGTAAATTATCTGAATGACTTCACTATTTTCGTTTGTTCGCTTGCACAATATCATCATCATCATCGATTCTCTTGGCATCGTTTGTTTCCATATTCTTCGAATTTTCACACACAAATATTTTCAGCATTAACTCATTTGGGCTGATGCTCAGCTCGATGCTCTTTCAATGTGTATACACACAGCTAATGCTTAAGGGATTTATTGTAGCCAAATGCAAAAACATAAGAGATTATTTGTTTTAAATCGCTTTTTACAATCCTTCCCATTCAAAACAATCTTCTCCGTGCTTGTCGACTCTCTCTATCCCTCTTCTCCTCAATATTATCTGAAACGTGTTTAGTATCCATGGAGAAATGAATAGTTGTATTCTGTCTACTGTTTCAAAAACTTTGCCATTCAAAATAAACAACAAAAACACCCAACTTCGACCGCATTCATATTGTAAATCCCATTTAATTTACTACTGAAGATGTGTTAATTATTTTGTGTGTGTGTATGGATTTTGTTTTTGTGCTTATATTTGGTTTTGTATGTGCGGAGGAAGGGGCGGCGGTCGGATATTTTCGTCTGTTGAGTAGCTATTTAAGTGACATTTTCATTTGTTTTCATTGCGGATTTGGTTCGGATTTATTCCAAAAACTGTACATTAAAACCGTTCATGCTTCTTTTTCTCTTCGTATTATTTTTGCTTTCATTTGTTATTCAAGATTTTTACGTGAGCACGATTCCGATTTCGGGTTTGAATTCACACGCAGCGATAGAGAGAATGTGCAATAACACACAAACACACACACATACATGTATATATAGCAAAAGTTTAATCGGATATTCTCTTCGGATAATAATGGTTTCTCGGAGTAAAATTGCAAACTGCAAATCCCAAAAATAACCATTTTAGTTTACATAAAATGGTCGTTAAAAGCCAGTCGTGCTTGGATAGTCGAACTTTTCTCTATTTACCTTAACTCTCTCAGGTAATTATCGAGCAATTTAAAGCACTCACAATATTTTTGTATGTAAAAGTCGCACACACATTGGGCTCCACCTTTAAATTAACTTTGGCTAGAAATCACTTGAAACTTCTGAAAAACCCACCCGCCGGAGACAGGAAAAGAGAGATGGGAACATCTGTTTTCGAAACTTTTGTGATTTCGTACTCAGCTTATTCTCATAAAATATGAGGGTAGAATTTGATTTTTCAAACAATATTAATTTAAATATTGTACAAAATATGACCATTTTCGGGGGTCAATCGATCAATCACGTTTTAATATCAGACTTTGGTTGAAAGATGATTTTCGAATTGTGTGTCATTGTCATTTAATACATGTCTGTCATTTATCGTATAGATTTTCCACTTTGTTCCGGCCAATTTTATTCCCCGGCTTATATTAATTATAATTAAGGATCAGAAGGACGATAGCAACTGTCGACATTCATTCTATCATTTGTAATTACAGCCGGTAGATTGTTGTTGTTGTTTTTTTCGCATTTCATTCATCGAATAGACTTTCTTTGTTCAATTATTGTTTTTGGGAATGCCATCAATCATTTCGCCACACCAGAGAATTAGTGGCAATGACATTTAACGTGGAACAAATATGGATGTAGATTGAATCAAACGAAAACAATGTTCGGAAAAAAGATAAATTGATAAAATGATTAATTGGACAAAAAGGTGAAAATGAATCATGTGAACCAAATGCCAGATATCTGCGGCTGATGATCTATACATTCAGTGATTAAAATCGAATTTTCCCATTCATGTTTGGTTGATTAAATGCATTTCTTTCTTTTTCGCTCTTTCGCTCTTTCTCTCTCTCTCTCTCTCTCTCTCTCTCTCTCTCCCCTAATTGTTCGAAATGGACTTTTCTTTATATTAAAGATTTCTTAATCGAACAATCTAACAAAACACATTCGGACCGATGACAACTGTGCCAAGAATTCCATGTCGTAAGAAAGGCAAAAAAAGCGGTATGGTGTAATTTTCCGTTTTTATTTTCGTCATTTCAATGATTTATATCAAAAGTGTTAATACGTTTTTAATTGTTGACTTGTGTCTCTGTGTCAACGCTCATTGCTCTTTGGCCATGCTACCATTTTTTTCGCGCTCGCTAAACTTTTACGTAAATTGCATGAATTTCCTTGTCACTTGCAGCTCATAAATCATAGTGATACAAAATAAAAGCGACATCGAAAAATCTGGCCGAAAAATCAGCGGATCGCATTTTGGCGACATACATGTGCCAAAAATAACAATCAACATCAACGAGTGAAATGTATGCGATCAAAAAATTCATTGTCATCATCGTCATTATAATTATCAGTTCGTTATTTTCATAAATATTTCATAAGTATGAATTATATAAATCAGTCAGAACTTTAGTGTGACACTATAAAATGCGCTCGAAATGAGCAAAACAAAAACATCAAATGGCATTCGTACAACAACGACAACACAGATGAGATTCTTTCTCAAGTTGGGTAAAGTTTTTGTTTTTCTGCACATTGCGAACGATCACGAAATGTAATTCTTTTGGGGAGAACAAAAAAGACTCGAAGCGAATTGTAATGAAGGGAGAGAGAAACGAAAAACAGTGTGTTGAACTGTCACATGATGATAATTAACGTCTGTTTAAAAAAACAAAGTCGACAAAATAAATTAGGTGTTTTGTGACAAAAGCTGACATGGTCTGTTGAAAAATTAAATAACACACGCGAATGCTGCGAAAAATACAGAACATGATAGTGAAGGCAAAAAATGAGCGAGCAATAGAGAAGGAACAAACGAAAAAAAAAAATGAAAACTGACAAAAAAACTGAACAAGCGAGCACACGGCACGAACATTGACAAACGACACAACGAACGACGGACAAGTAAAATAGTAAACGAACCAACACATATCATTCAAAACTAAAAAAAAAAATTATTATTATTATTAGTTTTGTGCTGAAGCATATTTCTTGACACATATATGCGGTTTCTTGAGGAACACGACAAGGCTGCAAAGCTACAACTCTCCCATGAAAATGTTCTTTTGCTCTTACTCTGCTCCGAAATCGTCACCGAGAAAACATAGACACAGTACAGTTGCATGACAAATATTTTCAGCATTTAATGATATAATTTGAGTTTTATTGAAAATGATGGCTGTTGTCACAGTTGCAACGGTGCTTGGCTATTTGTAATATGTGTGCATAGACGCAAACACATCGGCGAACAACAACAGCAAAAAACGTAATTAAAATAATAAATAAATTGTTGGTTTTATTTTGTTGGTACAGTGCCGACATTTAGGTGAACCGCACCGTATTAATTGCAGTAAGTGTAAGTAACATCAATAGTAATTATTGTAATGTGATATGTATATATTCGAATTTGTTGTTGTTTGAATAAATATATGCATTCATTGTGTGTAATGCATCAAATTATAATCTGACTAATAAACGATTTCAATATTCTGCCGAGATCTCGTCGTTGTCGCCGTTGCCAGTAAATGTCGACATTTCAAACAAAACACATAATCTCCGGCGACACTAATGAAATGATTAATGTCACGCAATCAAAGTCAACGTCGCGTCTCAATGAAATTGCGCGCGCACATACTCGTTTGACTTGCCGCAAATAAATCGAAGATAGAAAAAAAATTACTCAGTTTTTTTCTTCTCTCCCCGTTTGCTTTTCGGTTTGCTATAGAAATTAATTATCATTGATAAATTATCCACTTTTGAATTGCACACAAATTGACAGCAACAATTCATTTGGCGTTTTGTGTGTTATTTGCTCGTTTTTCCCATTGATTTTTTTTCCACGCCGCGCGCGCGGCAAATATATAATGTCAGAGCAAGGCATAATAATGCGCATAAAACCTATGCCCAAATGGTAAAAAGTGCGAGACCCAAGCCAAATGGTTGAACATAAAAACAACAGCCACACATTAGAAACCGAATATAATTATTATTTGATTCAATAATATAAACGAGCCAACTCATGTATTTATGGAGTTTTACAAGTTTTCATACTCAGTAAATTATA